AAATACAGAATTACTTTCGCACATAAAAGTGTGTAAAACCAAATACATGGTCCTATTTACGCAAATAGAAAAATAAACCATACAAAACGGACATATCCCAAGCAACATATGTCCAGTTCCTGAACTAAATGGCATCCTAAAATTATAAGCTGGACAGAATAAGAAAGTTGCACGTGAGAAAGCATAGGTTGATACCGTCCAGTTTATGATTTATAAGTAAATACAATCGTGTAGAATATACTGTATGATCATTACATTTCGTCACGCATAAGCACCAATGCTTTCATTTTGTTCTGCTTGCTGAGAAATTAGAGATGTCAGTACGCCAAATTCGCGACCCTGACTACTACGCATGGTGATTTTTACTCCGAAGAAACCCAAAGCATTACTGTGCTTTACATTCAAAATTAGGTATAGCGATGTCAGTGCTCAGCCGTATCTTGCACTGGTACATAAGCCGAAAGCAGGCCATCAATGACCTCAAAAGCAGGTGGGCTGACGGTGAGCATAGCCACCGTCTTGTGGGTTTTCTGATGATCAGTCGGAGGTCAGTTTCCGCGTTACCAAAACCCGTCTTGATGGCGCCTGATCCAGGGTTGTTTGCCGAATTCCTTCAAGTCGTACTTTGCAATGTGCGTAACTAAAGAAACAAGGAGTATCAGTTGAGTCTACTTGTAGAAAAACCTCGTCCTGTCATACTTGCTTTCACTGAAACGTTGTCTCCGAATATCACAGATGGTGAGTTACGCTTACCAAGCTAAGTAGTGTTTATAACTGATCTTTCGGTTGATTGTCAAGGCGGAGGTGTTGTATTTTCTGTGAGCTGTAAACAAGATGTGATAAGGACCCGCACATTTTATTTATTGAATCAAACTATGAAAGCTCTGTAAGCAGTTATGCGTAATTCCTCTGTGGAGTTTACAGTTGTAGTGGTATACAGAATTCGTGGAAGTTCCTCTAGGGGTTATTGGCTCTATTTGCATACAGTCGGCCAAGAAGTGTTTAGTTCCAGGGGATTTCAACCTCACAGAAGTCTGTTGCGCCGATCTTTAGTGCAATTAGGCATCAGGAGCATTCAATGTAGAATTTCTTGAGCTGACCCTCCAAGTGCCGTTGCACCAGTTCGGAAACTCCTTATTAGATTTATGGACAACCCAGTACCATCTACTGTAGAGCTAGTTTTCTCTATGCATCTCGACTTTGTAACTGGCTCTTTGTACGGTACACTTCTAGGGTCCAGCGATCGCGTATGCACATTATTTCAGTGTGCACTTTCATGGCACCAAAAGACTGTCGTTGAATTGCTTCCAGGTACTTGGCAGGCTGACTATAGTAAAATACGATATAAGGCGTTACTTCTGGACTGTGAGGTCACGACGGCAGACTGTCCAGCTAGCCTGGGATGAATTCATGGCATATGGAGGTCTCTGCACACCACATTCCACCCATAAGGAAAAGCAGGATAGGGGCATAGCCACCATGAATAGATTCTACAAACAAATACCTACATAAGAAATGGGCTAGTTACTGGCGAAGCTGACAAGTAGCTCCATCAGCCAGTACCAAGGACAGTTATCAAGAGATTAGAAATAAATGTAAGCAACATCCCAGGACTGCTCGTCTCCAATATGAGAAGGGTTTAGCCGGCTCGGCCGCAGCACTTTCTTAGATAAAATGGCGCAGGGTGGCAAAACAGTCTATACCAACGTCACTGCGAGCAAACCGATTGTGTTTACTTAATAAACAGTATACTAGTCATTGCTTGAGAGACCACTTTACCACAGGCTGAATTGATAGCAAGAGTTCCAAAGGGTTCTGGCTTGACCGAGTTTAGCATAACGGAGACCCAAGTCTTCGCGCTATTGTAAAGCATAAATCTCTCTAAAGCTACCGATCCTGATTCAATTTATCCGGAGCTGTTGCAGGAATTGGCCGCTAAACGGAGCGGTCATTTCACATGCGTCGTTTCAAAGTCGCTTGGCAGCTGCGTCCTATATTTGGAATTGAAAATGTTAATCCACTGATGAATATATAAGAGCGGTGACAGTAATCTGCCCGCGAATTACTGGCTAGTCAGTTTGACAAGCTTAGTAGTCAAGTTTTTTATAAGGCTGACAAGGGATTTGTTGGAGAATCATCCCAGGGTTGCGCCAAATGGATTGTGCAAGAGATTTTCGTCTCAGAGTAATCTACTTGTAGCTCGTGAAAGATAGGTCGAAGCGAAAGACATTGGCCACGCTATAGACACGCTAGTTGTACACTTTTTAAAAGCTTTTGTCACGGTTGCTCATCTTAGACTCGGACCAAAGTTGAGATCTTACGGGACAGGTGGCTGCGCCCTTACATGAGTGTCCGCTTTTCTGGAGGGTAGGGGATAGTGTGGATGTGTGGGTCGTAGCCTTAAACTTAAACAAGCGGTCTTTAGTGACGCCCCACAGGGATCGGTATTGGAACCAATGCTATTCGCGATCTATGTAAATAAGTTGCCGAGAAATCTGGAAGTGTCGTCCCTTGTGCTTGTTGATGACCTTAAGCTCTTGAGTATTGTGGATATCCCTGAGAGGTCGGAGGCAATTCAATGCACTATAAATAGGTTTTGGAAATGGTCTGCTTCATGGTTGATACCCGTAAGTCGGGTTCGCCAAATAGGAGCTGCTTTTCCCCTTACATGATATTTTAGCGGCGGTAGTGAAATTCCCATTGTCAATCAGTAGGTTAATTTAGGTGTCGTCCACTCACCAGCTCTTCACTCTGGCAAAAATTGAGAAAAGTTGCTTATAGAGATTCCGCATGATGTGGTTTATCCGCCGCTTTTTCGGAGTCTTAATGGTCAATATGTTCGTGAGGTTATTCAAGGTATTCGTGCTGACCCATTTGGAATACTTCATCCAGGCATGTCCACCATGTCTTATCCGAGACAAAATGGATTCCGAAGGGATTTACGCATGGATACTAGGTTAATGCAGGGTTTACGTTGACAGGCATATGCCTAACGCTTGCTTAGTTTGGGGACGTACACAAACCTTGGGCTTATCGGTCTAGGACGGAAATTCGTCTGTCACACCGAGTGACAGAGTGCTGGAATTCTCTTCCGGATCAGGTAGTTAGGAAATATACTTTTAGCGATTTTGAACCTCCAGTTGATGCCGTGGGTGGCAAAATCGACGTTTTCGTCCATCTTAATTGGCGCATATTAAGCTTACAATTCTTAACTTAGTGTTACACTTGTTATAACTGAGGGTTATACTTGTTTAGCTCCCTTCCCATTTTTGCCTTCCGAGTTTACCGTTTCTTTTTTCTTACTTAAGGTAAACGGCACAGCACAACCGGCTAATGCAGGATACGTAAGCAACAATTGGTTGGACAGGGTATGATTTGGTTTTTGTTTTAGGTCCATCTGTATTTTTAAGATCTTCCTCAACTGTCACCGTACTGTCACGGCTATGCCCTCAAATGCAATGCAATAATACCGCCAACCATGGCCGTTTACCTAAACCTTAGTCCCTTTCTTCCAAGTAGCCACATCCCCATAATCAAGGCGCTAGATATCTGTGGCCCACATCCTCACTTGGTCGCAATCCACAACACTTGAAACTTACCGACAACAGCAGGATCCTGCCGTAAGACCTCGAGGCAGAACCACAGAAAAACAAAGTTTACATGTTCTGCACAAACCCACGAAAACCATGAAACTCCTGGTTCAAAGACCCACTGAAGAAGGAACACTCAAGGAAGAATCCTATAGTTCAGGATCCGCTAGAACCTAAACTTACAATGCGTTATATGGCAGAACGTTTGTTATAATTAAGCTAAAAAAAGAGTGTTTCATTTATAAAACAAAAGCAACTTTAAAAATAATTGTTTTACTATTAATAACAAATTCAACAACAGCTGATGCCATTTAAAGCCTAAAACTAATTTAAACACCCTGTTAGGTAAATAAAAATTTGTGGCGCGTCATATTGTCACAGTAGTAAGTCAACAGGTAAGATGTCGTCGAGCCTAGCCTAAGTTGTGATTATAGTTGCCTCTTCTGTTTGTTTTCCCATTTCGTCTTCAATATACTTTGAGCAACCACCTCCCGTGCGTGTTTTCACACCATCCATCCAGTCCCGTCAAGCTAGGTTCTCTATCAGCGGCTGTGATAATGCCGTCCAGCTCGCCACGAGGTGTAACATAGGCACAGTTTCCATCAAGCTCCGACTCTCATTGGGTGGTTGTCCAGCCGCCAAGGAAGTATCTCTTTAGCCTTACAGCCTACTCGATCTACTAGGACCCACGTACGCCCCGAAATCCGAAGCAACCGGAACCCATAACCCGACGCATACTACAATTTAATTTTAACTCAGGTGTCATGGAATATCATGATTACTGAACGCAAATTTTTGAAGTGACTAATAACCATGCCGTTATGCAACCTATCGTAATGCAAAAGTATGCCAATGTATTGGCCTGATTCTTACAACCTAAACGACCTTTGGACACCATACATTAGCTTGTAAAGAAACTGCACGAATTAAGTCATGCGGTTTCTTTATTTCTTAAAGGAATACGGAAAAGCCTACGTAGCGTTGAGTATGCATACTAAGTGACATAATAAGGTAAGCTAAGGTGGTAATAATAATATAAGTAATATTCTCTGCTATGTAGACAACCATCAGTAGTAGGCGTCCGGTCGTGGGTTACCGAAGATTTCCGGTTCCGCGGCGTACGTGTGTCGTATTAGACCGAGGGGGAACTGAAACGCAAAAAGAATACTTCGTAGGCGGCTGGAAAGCCATCTAGTAAGTGTCGGAGCTAGATAGATGGTGTGCCTGTGTCACATCTCGTGGCTAGCTGGGCGGTACTCTCACAGCTGCCGAAAGAGCGCGAGACGACTAGTTGGATGGCGTGAAAACGTACGACGGTTGGCTAATTCAACAAAAATGAAGACAAATTGGGAAAGCAAAGAGAATAAAAAAGTACGCTCATAATGTCGGCTACGCTCGATGACAACTTACTTGTTCGCTTGTTAGGAAGACACAGGTGCGCAACACTAGCAAAAACGTGCGCAGTAATTACCGGAGTAGTTGAATTCGCTGTTACCTTGAAGATAAATATTTAGTACGACTGATACTTATTTGCAACTAAAGCATAACTATTACGAATAAAACTATGGAATAATACAGCTTAATAGATTTAGTATAGGTCGTTAGTAGCAGAAATATTCAAGCCATCAAAATCTTTACACATTAAAACACGAAACAACACCTTCGGCACCGATAAGCGCGTACTCATTATTGAAACGTCCTGGAAGACAAAAGAGTTATTGTACAACAGTTCCGGCGGCGGTTTATGTTGTATCGATATTAGCGTAAGTATTTGTGTTAGGTGGTTTATCTTTCTGGACATTCGATCCGCCCTACTTCGTCTAGCATGTGTGTGGCTTGTGCACACTCTGTTGCCTCTGGTTGCTTGTTGATGACGGGTAAACAACTCGTGCATGTGCGCTTTTCTTCTTTTGCTAGGTGGTGCGCTGTTATTGCGTGATTGAGTCGCCGATTTCGTACTCTCTGTGCGCAATCTTTTGAGCTCGGCCGTTCGTTCGCACCCTGAACTCGCATTGTTGAATTCAGAAATCATTTGCGCATCCTTAGCCATAAATAAGTTACAATTTCCAGTGCTTTTTCCACGTTTATATTCATTTTTAGAAAGCAAGTAAAGCCATACTTTTTACACTTGGGTGTTGGGAACAACAAGTACTCTTCCTGAACTTCCAGGTTTGTGAGATACATCTGGTAGCTTGTTCCGAGAACCGACTGCTGTGGCGAAAACAAGAACATGCTTGGTGGTTAGCTGAGGTTATCACAACTACCTTATAGGAAACCACACTGGACTCAATGTGTGACTGGCCAGCATCTCGTAACGAGTTGAATGCTGTCGTCACAGCTGCCGGGAAAGCAAGCCTGAAAGAATCGCTGCAGGATAGACAAGGATGTTTACAACCAATGGAACAAACAGCATAGGTAGAAGAAAATATTACTGACCGTCTAGCCAAGGAACCATAAATCCATTACCTTAGAATCGATACAAAGTATCGCTCGAACTCGCCACAGGTTTCAAGCGTGTGGGTGTCGTAGCAGGTGCAAGTCTCCCTTGCGGCGATCCCTAAAGTAAGGTGATCGTTGTGCCTCGCACATACAGTCGTTGCTCCTTCCCGTTCAATTAAATTTTATGGTTGGTTTACTGCGGTCTTGCTAGTTATTTGCGAAATGAGTTTCCAGCCAACTACGATGTCTCTGCTTTTCATTCCAACTACCCAGGTCTATTACGACATAGGTCCGCACTGGGTACGAAAAGCACAGAAACCATCCGCAGGATGCATACTGCAGGTTTGCCCACCATGCCATTTCCTGACAGCTGCTGCTGAAGCTTGAGCGTGGCCCTTTGCTGCGAGCATTAACTTATATTCAACCATACTGTTCGTCGCGGAACCTATCGAAACCAGAATATGGCGCTAGGCACTTATGCGCACAGCAGCAGTTCCCCAACCGGACGTATCGTACATATTCTTCGGCTATGCTCTCTTCCGACAGCGGTTTCGGAAGCTGGATACTTTAGCTTGAAGCTGACATTGACATTCCTGTGACAACAATGCTTGTCGCAGAATCGATCGGACCGTGAACAGTGTACTCAGCAGTTGTCCTTCACATAAGCAGTTCGAAACTAACTAGGACTACTTTAGTGGCTGTTGACGGCGCCTGTCAACCGAGAGGATAACATAGCAGGTGCGAGCATGACATTGCGGTGATGGATAAAGTAAGCAGATCGATGTATCTCGCGTAGACGACCATTGATTCTTCCTCTTCCCTTTAGTTTCACATTTGGTTTACTATAATCTCTTTCTAAGCTCTTGCCATTTGAGCCTCCAGCTCATCGTGTCCGCTACTAACGACTTATGCACCCGTCGCAGAAGCCAACGGACTCCTTAACCGGACTGTATTACAAGTGCATTCAAAAGTTGCGTCCCGGGTATTATTGCCATAGTTGAGCATAAAGCGTTAAACAAATGCGTGGATAAGAGGTCAATGCCTGGAATACAGACCAACGAAGCGACGGCAATTATCCGATGTGCCTGTATTGAAGTTGTAGTATGCCGGCTAACAGAACAACTTCCATGTGATGCCAGCTGGGTGGTTCGGGATAATCCCGTTAAAGCGAATAGTGCGGTAGCGGTGTTCCAGGACTTGATGGGGTTTAGACTGGCAAGCGTGCTTCCAATAAAAAGTCACAAAGATCCGATTAACAACACTGCGACGTGGCGGATATCACTTGCGGCTAGGTATAGTCCCTTCCTCTTCCCCTTCCGGAGTATTCTCAGTTCGCAAACATCATCCAATTCGAAGCGTTCCATTGGTCCCCGCGTAAGATGTCGAACGCAGCAAACCAACTTACGAATTCTGTCAAACTTCACATGTTCATTCAAAATGCCCACTAACAAATATGGTTGACGGCATCCGGTTTCGGATTTGCCTATCACTGTGGCAAGCCACAGGACGCCTGCGCCTACAGAGGGACCATGGATGGCTCGCGCTGCACCACCCACAGCTTCATCCACACACCCATATCCAGTGTAAACCCGAAGGAATAATACCGGGGGCATGTGGATGGGAGCCACATTTCATCAACGGAGCCGGCCCACACTTCTTCACAGGCAAACACAAGCACGCTGTATTTGGGGAATCAAACGCACAAAAGGCGGTGGCTGGACTGTGGTCCGCTCCACACCGACTGCATGGAACCACTCTTTGATCCTAACACGGCCACAAGGACCGCGCAATTCGTCCCCTCCAGCAACGACCAACTGTCTCCTGGAGCCAGTATGGAGGAGGTAGTGGGTAAAAGACAGGTCGGCACCTTGTCAACATGCACATCAAGCGCAGCCACACCTGGGATGTCCAACAACAGCCCATCACTTGAGAGAGAAAGAGAGGGAGAAAATATACAGGCATATATACAGGCACACAAGTCAGTATGTCACTGGTTCACCTGACATATTTTTTGTACAATTACCGATCATTATAAAGTCACAGGCTACGAAATTCCACACTACGCTACATCCACATGGACCCAAACAACTGACACTTCCCTTAAATGTTTCCTCGCATTTGCTTTCCCCATTTATGCAGGTAACATAATATGCGAACTGCGAAACATTGACTGTAAAAGTTGATCAGGCTTGCTAAGGCGTGCCTTGATGCTACCGAGTATAAACCATTTATTTATGTATAATTTACAGCGCTGGATATTATTCGACTTTGGTCGCCAAGTCCGTCCATAGATTTGGCTGATTCCGAATAACGATTGTTCGCTCCGCTCCACTAAGTGATGCGCTACAATGCCTCGGGCAGCGCGCTGATACGAAAATTATTTGGATATGTGGCCGGAAAACGGACACTATTCCTAGAACACATGACAAATAGGCCTTTTAAGTAACCCTAGGTAGGCGCTTGCCCTAACAAAACTTTAAAACAAGTAGTAGCAGGAAAAGCTTTATACGGATGCCGTCTTCGGAAACGCTTTAATAAATTTCTATCCGCCAAGTTATTGGAAGTTAACGGGCTTAATAAATTTACCCGAACGAACTAGGCAAGAACATCGCCACAGCGATAGTCCACTGCATCCATCTTTTTCTCCTCTATGATGCAACGCTGTATGCACTGGCTGGGCTTGTGCGAGTGCTTATGCGACTTTACCCATGATCTATGCTTTGCGTCCATCTCGTGAATAACATTGGGATGCTGATGGTGGCTAGCCAAACAACCTCCATGTGATGCCGTCTGGATGGTTCGTGTTAATCCCGTTCCAGCGGAAAGGTTGGTGGCAGTATTCCAGGAAGTGGTGAGTTTCCGCCTGGTTAGGGTTCACCTTAAAACAAGCTAGAACTATCCTTTAAAACCACTGCGACTTGGCGGAGTTGACTAGCACTAAACAAAGTCACTGTCTCTTCCTGCTCCGGAGGATCATCCCCACTTCTCGAACGTCATCCGATTCGAAGAGTTTTTGGCCCGCTTCATACGATGGTGAACACAGCAGACAAACTCACGAACTCAGTCATACTTCGCACGTTCAAGCAAGCTGTCCACTTACACAACACTTACCTATATACTGACAAATCCGGTATGTTACTGGTTAACTTGTTGTATTTTTGTATGATTACCGAACATACGTGTTTGTATCATCATGATCCTGCTTTTACAGGCGTCCGCCTCACCGACGGGAATAAAACATTTGTTTGTGTATGCTTTTCTACCCCGGACATCCAAAACCAAAGCGCATGCGTGTGTGCGTGTGTGCGTTTGTTTTCATATACAATTGTCCCCACTTCTCTTTGTCCCGTGTATGTGTGGTACCACACGATAACCTCAACCGCCTTATCCCACCATTAGCCAGATTACTTTGGTACCTAATCGTCATCTGCCAAACGAGATCACTCATGGCACGGGAGTGTATCACCTTCCAAATCACAAGCTCTAAGGGTTTGTTCACCTACGCTATCGGCTCTGTGATCGGTTATATACCAATCGTGTATGGACCGCCGTGTTTGGAAACGCCTGATTCGGTCGGGGTCTGAAAACAGTACATCTAAACTTGTGCGTAGGCGACACCCAAACATTGCCTCCTCAGGACTTTTACCGATGGGCTCCAAGGGTATGACATGATAAGCGAACAACAGTCGCTCTGTTCTGGTGCACAAATTTCCTTGCGTTCGCTTCACGGTACAGACCTTCACGGCTTGTACCGTTCGCTCTGGCAAACTATTGGATGCTGGATGCTATAGTGTAGAAGTCACTGGGCGTATGCACTTACCCTGTAGATACGTTTGAAAGCTGCACTCGTAAATTGTGTATGGTCTTCTGTAGCTACAGCTTTTTGTATATACAATAGGTGGAAGGGCTAATACGCAATTTATTAATGGTAGTCTCAAAAGTAGCATCAGGTACAGTACGCATTCACCAAGCCTAGTAGCATTTTTTCTTCAATTGGACCACAATAGTCTGCGTGAACTCGCTCACCTGGAAAAGCAAGTATTTCCCAGGAGTG